TATAAGTACTGACCAAATTCTACGTGTTTTCGGCCTTTTTAAACTATTTCTAAAGAAATAATGTTTTGCTGAAACTAGATTTACCTTTAAATTTAACGCTAAGCATATTTTTAGTAAAACTGATAAAATCTTTCTTTAAAAATGGTTTATAGAACGCGAAAGCGCTTAGAGTTTGGGTAATGCTTACACAACTTCAAACCTGATATTAAATAATTCTTCCGAATGGAATAAACTTTAATAAGAAAATATAACAAAAAACTGTCGTAGATCTTTGATAAATCTTGTATAACTGAAAACTTGCTGTGTGTGTGTGTGTGTGTGTGTGTGTGTGTGTGTGTGTGTGTGTGTGTGTGTGTGTGTGTGTGTGTGTGTCTTAGCATTTATTTATCTGAATGTGTTGAAAATATAACGAGAGCAGGTGAGAAAGGTTCAAAAGTAGAAGGCTGATTAAAAATTAGGAACGTTAAATGACTGTTTTATTGAAAAATAAGCGGCAACAAAATTGATTATGAATGACGTTGGCGGCATTTTTATTAAATAATTAATTGAAAATTGAATGTCTTCCATCATTCAGCACAATGAATCTAATTGATATATCATCCCTATTTCTCCTTGGCGGCAGGTTTTACTTCATATATATATATATATATATATATATATATATATGTGTGTGTGTGTGTGTGTGTGTGTGTGTGTGTGTGTGTGTGTGTGTGTGCACGCGCGTGTTCGTGTGTGTCTATGTGTGAGAGATATGTGACTGTCCAAATAGAGAATAATTTACAGATATACATATGTACGGAGAATATATGCGGGTGAATGTGCGTGTATGTGTGAGGAAGATGTGTTGATTTAAATATATTCTACGAATATATTTAAGAGATTTAATTTTAAGAGAAAATTATACATTTTTTTTTTTTAAAGTGGAACATAATTTTTTATTGGAAATTTTATTATGACAAAAAGAAGACAAACATTTTAGGATTAAATTTTGCTCTCGTCAAAATGTCCTCCTTAAGACTTGGCACAAACTTTGGCATTCGCTGAAAAAGTTTCTCAAAGTACAAGTTTCATAATTGATTCCGTTTTTTTACAATGACTACGAGCTCTTTTTCATTTTTTTCACTCTTCTCTCATGCTAATTCTGGGGTCGCTTCAAACTTTTGAACTGCAGTATATACATACATACATACATACATACATACATACATATATATATATATATATATATATATATATATATATATATATATAGGGTGAGACGTACGTATTTCTGAGTAATAGCCATTTCAAAAAAACTTGCCTCACCCTACACACAAACACATTCGCATATATATATATATATATATATATATATATATATATATATATATATATATATATATATATATATATATTGTCATCCACATACAGGCCTGTTTCGCTGTATCATAGCTCATCAGTGCGGCTAGACATCCGATTGCTTCAAGCCGGGACCGATTTGTTATCAGTCGAAGTTTCTACTCTTGAGCTATCAGCGCACGGCTGAGGGATAGTCAAATTAGATATCGGTGTAATTGCGTTTGTATGTGTGAGAAAGAACATTGTTATTTATATAACGAATGCGGTGTCCGGAGAATTCGGTAACGGAAAATTCGGTGACGGAAAATTCAGTAATTTTGATAAGGAAGAAAAATTCGGTAACTATGAAATAAAAGTGGATTGAAAATTGATTTTGAGGCAGTTCTGGAGTGATGATTTGGGGTCTAAGTCTCCCCCCCCACCTCGTATATTTTTTAAATAGAATTGAGACTACATAGCTTTTGCTTCTTTAAAAAGATATAACTATCTAAAACTTTATTTATTTACTACTTTTTTATAATTAAAATAATAATTTGAAAAGAAGATACAAGAACTTAACTTTAACTCGAATAAGTCGATTTTATTTACTTGAAAACAATAGAGTAATTAAATAAAAACTTATTTAAAAATATTTATCTAAAAATACTGGCGGTGTGCATGTGTGTGTGTGTGAGGGGGGCTTATCCCCCTAACCCCTATCCAGAAAGTACGGCCCTGGAATTATTGCAGTTGGATTTTATTAGTTAATACTTATTTAAACGTATGGCGGGCTAGCCCCCCCCACTCTTCCCTGCTCCAGAATGCACAGCCCTGGTATTACTATAGTGGGATTTTATCTAGATCCCCATTGTTAATAATACTTAAAAAAAAATATTAGGAAAGGTGGTCGAGTTTCTTAAGCCTCCTTCTGCAGGTACGGTCCTGGTATTTTTGTAGTGGGGTTTTATCTGGACCCCACGATTTTCAGTTATTTAAAAGTATAAGAGAGGGGCACATAGCCTCCAAATCTCGACTCCAGAAAGGCCCTGAAAATCAATTTTCAATTGACTTTTATTTCATAATTGCTGAATTTTCCTACTTTACCAAAATTACCGAATTACCGAATCTTTCGTTACCGAATTTTCCATTAACGAATTTTCCTAAAATCAACGAATGTATATATATGCATACACAGTGTGTGAACATATACGCTTGTCAAAGTATGTAAAATGTGCATATATATATATATATATATATATATATATATATATATATATATATATATATATATATATATATAATTGGTATATGGAATGAATTCCAATGGCTATTTTTGTAGTGATTTTATAACATACTTATGTCATAATTTTTTTATAAAAAATAATTATATATATATATATATATATACATATATATATATATATATATATATATATATATATATTCGTAGAATATATTTAGATTATTACATCTTCCTCACACATACACACGCACATTCACGCACATTACACAAATATAAATACATATGTGAGCGTATCAAGTACATTTACATTTATATTTGACTGCGTGTAAATATACACACACGCATACATATATATGCATGCGTGTGTGTGTGTGCGTATATATATATATATATATATATATATATATATATATATATATATATATATATATATATATATGTGTGTGTGTGTGTATCCGTCGTCGTCCTTAGCGGCGTTTTTTACTTTGCCAAGACTCATGTACCTTTTTTTCCCTACCCATTCACACATTGTTACAAATAAAATATTTTTCTTCCCTCGTCATAAATTGGTTGATCATTCCTAGAGAAATACGGTCCGGTCTATATGGAAGCCACACACATAAAAATAATCAATTTGGTGGAAATAGTTTTCAACGCTATGACGTATAATGTTAAATATTCCCGAGTGAACTCTATCAACTTTAACTTTAGCTAACCATGGCGTATCATTTACCAAGAAATCTCCCACGCAAAACACTTTTTGATACTTTCGCTCATTCACAGTACTCTCTATATAAACAGTTGAATTTTGACAGTCATATTTTTATTTCTTTTAAAATAAAGTGAATATGTTGAAAAGTTTGTATATTTTCTTCTCGTTTCAATGTTAGAATTTATAAACAAAAATAGGTAAATTTTTACAAACTTTTTTGGTAAGCATAGTAGATAAATGGATTGCGACCCGAATTAAGGAATCGGAGAGCCGATTTTGAATTCCAGTCGGGTTCATTACTTTTATTACGTGTCAATACATATGGGAATGGTATACATTCAACTATTTTCCGCATTTCTATAGGTAAATATAGATACGACAGACAGGGTGGCAATCGACCTAGGAGAAGGAAAACTCTGAATTAAAACCTTGCAGCTAAGGAAAGGAACATTCGCATTGACCCGACGATCCCCACTACGGTCGACTAGGAAAGGTATACATCCAACTATTTTCCGCATTTCTATAGGTAAATATAGATACGACAGACAGGGTGGCAATCGACCTAGGAGAAGGAAAACTCAGGAATTAAAACCTTGCAGCTAAGGAAAGGAACATTCGCATTGACCCGACGATCCCCACTACGGTCGACTAGGAAAGGTATACATCCAACTATTTTCCGCATTTCTATAGGTAAATATAGATACGACAGACAGGGTGGCAATCGACCTAGGAGAAGGAAAACTCTGAATTAAAACCTTGCAGCTAAGGAAAGGAACATTCGCATTGACCCGACGATCCCGACTACGGTCGACTAGGAAAGGTATACATCCAACTATTTTCCGCATTTCTATAGGTAAATATAGATACGACAGACAGGGTGGCAATCGACCTAGGAGAAGGAAAACTCTGAATTAAAACCTTGCAAGTAAGGAAATGAACATTCGCATTGACCCGACGATCCCGACTACGGTCGACTATGTTTTTTTCAGGAAAATATCCGTAGTGTCAGTGTATATGACAAAGCGATCTTTTTGATTGAACATTCGATGCTCTTAATGCAACCTAACGATAAAAAACAGACCAAACATCTTTTTAGTCTAATCAATAAATATTTATCTCGATGTTGCGTAGATTCTCAGTTACGTTTTTATAGCCTTTACTGTTTACATTTCCCATCACCCCCACCCACCCAGAGGAAAAGAATCTTTCTCCCGCCTCTTGGCACAGGCGAGCTTCTACAGATATCATCTTACAATGTTGATGTCGATTTGCACACATTTTTGCTTAGGTTCAGCATCAATTTAACTCACCATCTGTTTCTGATCTATTAGAAAGCACCTGCGTCGTTTATATTCGATATTTCTCCTTGTGGCCTCGTATATGTCTCTCTTTTTATATATATATATATATATATATATATATATATATATATATATATATATATATATATTAATTTTCCTACTCAATCCTGTCATACAGAATTTCGTAATGAGTCTACGATCACAAAAATGAAGAAACTCAATAAAAAAAAACAAAAAAACAGATGTTTAACAATAAATAAATAAAACAGTAATGAAAGGGGTAAAGGTTAAGGGCAGGGGACTTTCGGTCATTAAAAAAACAAAAAAAATAGGTTTTTCTATCGTTAGCGCCTCAGCTTCAGATTTCTGTGGTTAACCGATATCGGTTTTGATACAATTCCATTACACTTGGCGGTGTCCAACTTGCATGCGTCCCCCAATAAAATATCGCTCTTTTCATATTTCCTCAGCCTTTCATCAATTATTCCTTTTTTTCGTACGAAGCCGGAAGTCCTTTAATGAGGGACGTATGTTAATGAAAAGAACTAGAAGTGATATTTGTTTTAAGTGTTATCAAATTAAACACCTAAAAAGAAATAGTACGTGCGTCCGATAGAGAGAGAAAGATATATATATATAGAGAGAGGGGGTGAGAAGAGCGAGGGGGAAGAGAGTGAAGAGAGAAGTAGAGAGGGAGAGGGAGAGAGAGCGCGAGAGGGAGGTGGTGTAGAGAAGGGGAGAGAGCGAGAGAGAAAGAAAGGGAGAGAGGGAAAGAGGGAGAGAGAGATAGAGATAGAGGGGAGATACAGAGAGACAGAGAGAGAGAGAGAGAGAGAAAAGAGAGAGATGTTAGACAGCAAAATGAAAGACAGTAGCATTAAAAAAATAATGAAAAAAAAAATGAACGAGAAACACCTTTAAAGTAAACGTAATTATTTTCCACATGAATGAAGTTCAAACTATCCAGGTCCAAGATTATAACTTAACGATATTATCGTCATTATATTTCATTTTCATGTGAGGTAATGGGTTGAAAACCACTCGAGCAGTTATTGTAGACAATTGGAGATCAGAGACAAGTGCCGACAAGATTAAATTATTACCTTAAATCCCCTCTCTGGGCACCGTGTTTATTTCGTATAGCACGTTTAACATAGGCCTCTCAGAATTTATTATATTTAGTATAAGATAAAAGAAATACTTTCATTAAATGGAAGGATTTATTCCATAGACTAGCAGCATGGCCCGGCGTTGCTCGTGCTTGATTCAAAAATCGTACGACTCATATAGCAATCGCTATCACTTGACTTAAAATATTTTTGCCTTTAAAGGAGTGCCCTTTGCTGTGCTGATGTTGCTACATGCCTTACTTCTTGCTTATCTCACACTGCGAATTTTTTCTAAGCTCTATACTAAACATTAAATCTGTTACGAAAAAAGAACTAAACAAAATGAACACAAAGCGATCAGCTTTTAAAAAGGACTCGTAACTGAAAAAACCGAATGAAAAAAGAATGTTAACAACAAATACTTTTTAACACCCAACCCAGTTGTGTGGAATCAGAATCAACGTTGAGTTTAAGCAAGCGAATGGGCCAATTGGGGTAAAGTGCCATGCAGATTTAAATTTTTCTCACTTGTGACGAATGCAGCTATCGATTTTTTTGCATGCTAGTTAAAATTCGTGTCAGTCAGCTGTTGGCTCTCACGCTGACCAATAGAATCTTCCTGTCTATTCGGGGCAGCCAGCTATAGACTCTCACTCTGGGCAGTACAAAATGGCCGCAAACTACATGAAAACTGCCGTCTTTTTCTTCGGGCAAAGCGCAACCAAAAAAAAAAAATAAAAAAATAATGAGAGGTGCCCTGTCCCGGGGAACAGCTGCAAGCGGCAGTACCCTCCTCATTGCACTGGGGGCAGTAGAGTCTGTAGTAGTACCGATACCAATGCAACTGACGGTTGCGGGGACTGGGCTATTTCTTGACCTGTCCCGGGTGCATCCACTCGGGCTCTACACTTTAAACTGATCTTGTGTTGCAACCTGGCTGTGTGGCGCAAAGTAGATATCGAATTTGATACCAGAGATTAATGGCTACCACTTCACTCGGAGAATAGGAAGGAAATTTCATGACATAACAATTATCTATCTATCTATCTATCTATCTATCTATCTATCATCATCATTTCAGCCCAAGCAAGGCGGGAGTGCTACTAGTAGTTTACAGGGAGTGAAAGTCAGAGAAGAAACTGACTATAGGGAGGATTACGGAAAGGACAAAAGATGAACGGGATTTAAGAAGATAGAAAAGGGCGATTGGCATTGCATTTAAATTTTTGAAGGTTATAGTTACCTTACCTATAGAAATGCGGAAACAAGTAAACGGAATTGATTTCCACAGGCGGGAATTGCGAGACATGAAGCTATTGGAGTAGAAGAGACGGCTACATTTAACAGTTTCGACAGTGAAAGGGTGGAACTGAGATGTCAATCTAGTAGCACGCTTAAATTCATGTAGTCTGGGCACTAGGCAAAAAAGCTCGTCAGAACAGTTGCCATCAAAATATTTGTAGAAAAGACAGAGGGAAGTCACATCACGTTGGTGAGAAATTGACTGAATTCGATATGCCACACCATGATCGATTACATTGCAGGTCCTTCTTTGAATTTTGTCGAGAACCTCAAGATGAATAACAGGAGCACCAGACCAGATATGGCAACAGTATTCAATGCACGGACGAATGGTAGATGAATAAATGTGCAAGATGGATTTTGACTAGAAAAAATTCCTGGCTCGACTCAGTGACACGACTTTCCTAGCAATAGATGCAGCTATTGATTCAATGTTGTCGGTCCATTTCAAGTCAGTTGAAAACGTAAGGCCAAGAAGACGCAAAAATACGGAAATGTATTAAATTTTGGTTTTGTCAGTAATTTAAAAATAAGATCAGTTTTAATAAAAGCGTAAACAGCTGATTATTGAAAAGTGCATTTTATAAATTGCTTCTTTCTCTTTAAAATACGACCCACACAATGCTCTTAATAAAGAAAACGAATTTTACTTTTTACTTATATATTAATACAAAAATCTGTTATCTGCGTAAGCATTTTCATGATATATAGAAAGACTATATCTTTGTGCTTGTTTGATTTTGGCATTAAATGATTTTAAACATCTAGGAGGACGGAAAGGCACATTGGGTTAGCGAAAGATGCTTTCAAAAGCTAAGTAAAGTATTAAGAAACAGAACATTTATTAAAATCAAAGAAAAGTGTGCTAAACTGTTACGCAATATCAGTCGTCCTATATGGCAGTGAATGCTGGATAATCTCCTCACAGATGATATAATAACAAAAAAAAAAAAAACTTTTAAGAGAAGGTATTTGTATGAAATAAAAGATGAGGGGGTGTGGTATCCGAGCTGAAAGAGATTATTTTAAGGGAGTGCACAACCTCCTCACAGATGAAATACAGAAATGAAACAACAGAAATGTGTTTATACAGAATGATGCTGAGAATTCTATGGACTGAACACGTGGGCAACGACGAAGTTTTTGAGGTAATAGAAAAAATAAGGACACTTATAACTTACCATCAGGAAGGGACAGTTTAAATTTCTAGGGCACATAATGAGGAAAGAAGGCTTGGAAAATCTGATATTCGCAGGATAGATCGAAGGTAAGAGCGACACAGAAAAACAATAAAGGTCTCAATAATACTGTAAGTAGCAATAACAGTGGGGAAACCCATTTCCCAGAAAAATTCTTTTAATAGATAAATTTTATAAATTTCTATTGAAAGTAGCACTGGCAGCTTGCTCAATGAATACCAAATATTTCCACATCAGGAAACGGCTATTTTTACCATTACCGTTATAGATAAGGAGAACCGATACTACACTTTGATCCCAGCTCGATGGCCAGAAAGCGAAGAAAAACATAACTAGAGTTTCATTGTTCGGTCAATGAATGACTCTTTATAAAGAAACGCTTAATATTAGCATTACCATGTGGTTTATGTTTCAGTTGTACTAGTTAAATCATTATATTAATGATATTTGCAAAAAGGGATTTAAAATGAGACCATAACTTAATACAAGATATTATTTTTATAAATTTCAAGAAATAATGAAGGTTATTATTTTATATTTTTGCGGAATGGTGTGTGTGTAAGTGTATTTTATGTTTGCCTTTGGACGGGTGGGGGGATATCAGTTTTCGAGAAAAACCTGACCAAGACTCTATACAAGGAACGCCCCCCTTGCGCTTCATGGCATAGCTTTGAATTCAGAGTGTTCTTACTCCTAGACAGGTTGCTAATCAAGGCTAGAGTACCCAGTCTAGCCGGCTATTAAACAAAATAGGGTATTATAGTAATGCAAATAACTGTTTTTAGTTCTTGTAATAAAAACAATTTCATTCTTACGTATTAGTTTTATACAGAATATTTTAATATTAATTACGTAACAGTGATCGGTTGGAGATAAAAAATACAATTTATAATTTTCCTGTTTGAATGGGGCACAGGTAAAAAATGAGACACTATAGCAGCTACAACTATTCCTCCAATATATATATATGTGTGTGTGTGTGTGTGTGTGTGTATGTGTGTGTATATAAATATAAATATATATATATATATATATATATATATATATATATATATATGTAATATATTATATATATTATTATTTATATATTATATGCGCGGTACTTATTAGAAAGCGCTCAATATCAGAGATAGAGCTAACATATTTGGTTGGATTGATGTGAGTTTGTGATCCTGGGTTTTACCGCTTTTGCGATCGTCAGACAAACTGATTAATTTTTTAAAATTTTGGATTTTACACCAATACACGTAATCTACATAAATCCAAAATTTAAAAAAATAATCAGTTTGTTTGACGATTGCAAAAGCGTGAAACCCAGGGTCACAAACTCACATCAATCCAAACAAATATATATATATATATATATATATATATATATATATATATATATATATAAAAAAAGAAGAGAGAAACCGCAAACGTTTTTGGTTGTAATGTGGATTTAAAAATATATATATATATATATTATGCTTTATTTTCCATAATTTTGCTACACAGGTTTCCAGTCTCGCGACCTTCATCAGGCAAAGAGTGGATATTTCCACATATTATTAAAAGGAATTAATTTTTCTTACGTTTTTCGATGTTAAATATTCTCGATATTAAACATTCTCTTTTATGTGCGTTAGTGACCCAAATGCCTTTCTTGCACTGGCAGTGAAAGAATTCTGCGTGAAATGTAATAAAACAATTAAGACTGGTCCGAGAAAGGGTGGGGAAGATATCTATATTCTTATCTTTTTAATGACCCCTATGTGTTCTTAGATCTCTTTCCATTCTTTTGTGTTTTTGTCAGCATGAGTACGCATACATATATTCCCTCTCCATACATACATACTGTATTATAAGGAATTAGTATACACATATATGCACACATATATACATACACATACACACACATACATAGACATACGCACATACACACACGCACACACACTTCCTATATTGTGTAGGGTTCGAGTGTGTGCTTGTGAATATTATTTTTGTCAATATGTGTATATATATACCAGTACTCGCGTGTACATGCGCACTCCCTCTCTATACATGCATACAGTCTTACTATAAGGAATTAGTATACACACATACACATGCATATATACATACATATATACATGCATGCACACACTTCCTATCTTGTGTAGGGTTCACGCACGTGCCTGTGAGCAGTCTATTGTTTTTGCCAATATGTGTATACATATTCGTGCTCCACATATACCAGCATATGAGTGTGTGCGCATGGATGCGAGTGGTTTGACCACCATATTTGGCCATTATGTGTGTATGTTGTGTGCTTTTTTTTGCGTGTGGGACTATGATCTATTTAGTTCTCAGCAATAAAAAATACCCATAATAATAATAACTCTAAAGCAGGTATATATAAAATTAATTGCCAGAACTGCTACTCACAATACATTGGGAAACACACACACACACACACACACACACACACACACACACACACACACACACACACACACACACATATATATATATATATATATATATATATATATATATATATATATGATAAAACATATTTTAAGTTATGTTATATTTATGAGTAAAACTGCTAAATATCAGGGATAGAGTATTTATAAATATAAAAGTGGATAGTGAGGTCAAACCCGAACGGCGATAATTTGTTTCATGCTTGAACACAATATTCAGGCCATTTCTGTCGTATTTTTGCTCAACTATTTATATATGCTGTATTATGGAGAATAATAACTACTGTATTATCCTAACGTTATTGGGTAAGCGGTAGCGGTTATGCTTCAAATTATTATAGAGCCGAATGTGATTATTTGGAGCTATTTTATAGTGTTGTTAATTATATTGTTGCTCCTTATGTATGTATTGATTACTTAATTATTTGTTATTGATTATCGTTATTACGTTTACTTGTGTTTATCTGTGCATTCTTAGATTGTTAATTTGTTTTACATATTCGAATTTCTTTCTTTATTTATTTAGATTTTTTGTTTATTTTAATTTTTTTCTCGGGCCTGGTTATTTATTTGGTTGGTTTAAAGCAGCGCTTCTTAATTTTTTTTCATTCATGGCCCCATTTTTCATGACGAGATTCGTGGCCCCATGTATTAACCGACTGCACTGAAAATGCATCCGTTGTCATTACCCTAGTCACAACGGCGCCATTCTCGAGTTTTATTACCGCAGCGGTTGCATTGCTCATCGCCTTAAATATTGGGCGTTTGTGAAATAACATAGAAACTGAAATTCAAGCGTTTAAATTTAATTCTCCTGCATTTCGCTTAGCGACCTCATTTGGGGTCGCGACCCATAGCTTAAGAATCGCTGGTTTAAAGTATTGTCTGCGTCGAAGGTATGTTACATTTTCTGCGTATGTAGTGCATATATTTGCATTTTTCATGATAGTATTGTATAAAGCATTTGTTTTCAGTTTTCGATTTTTAAGTAACGTAATAAAAATTGTTTTCGCGTCTGCATTTTGAGATAAGTTCTGATCGTTTATTTATTAATTTCTTTTGGTTGGGAAGGTGTTTATAGCTATTTTCTGCTTTAGACAGACTTTACATTTTTTTAAAACTAATGCTGTAGGCTGATATTTTTCCTTATTTTCCATGGTATTTTTTATGTAATTTGTTTTTAATTTCTCATATATGTTTAGAAAGGGTGGTTCTGTTCGCGTATTTAATATTCGTAAAGATGTTTTGTGCGCGTAGTTTCTCTATTTCCTCTATTTTCAGGCTCCTTCAGTCACACCTATGTATATTTTTCTTTGTTATCTGCTGATTTTAAAGTGGTTTATTATATTCTATAGTCTCTCTCTCTCCCTATATATATATATATATATATATATATATATATATATATATATATATATATATATATATTAAGATATAATGTACATGTCGGCATGGTCTGCATTCTCCTTGTAGTGAAAATCAACCTGAAGGGACGTATGTTTTGAGACCGCCCACATTCGATTCGTTAGTATAGATAAATATAGAAATAAGCATTGAATGGTAACAGACAGCTTCATGCCTTCAGCAATCCTCAGCCCACTTATAATATGAGACTATCAGTCACTGCAGTACTGAGTTCTAGGTCCATTCTACGACCATAATGTTTATATGTAAAAATGCTCTCTCTGCGATAAATGCATATGTCTGTATGTGTGCTTTTGTGTGCGTGTGTGTCTCAGCTTTCTATTGAAATTCTGATGCAACCACCCACACAGAATTTGATGTTTGAAGCAATATTCCTAATGAAAAAAAATTTTTTTTTTCATTACAGTAAGCGGAATTCTATTTTATAATACATGGTTAACATTAAAAAAATCGACCCGACTAAGAAACCATATTCCCCACCCACCAAAAAAAGAAGAAAAATAGACCCCTAAAAACAATTGTATTATCATTTGAATAGATTCCGAGAAGGGATTGGTTCCGAGAAATTCTGAGCACTATCTTTCTTTCTTTCCTTCCTTCCTTCTTTCATTCCTTTCTATCTATCTATCTATCTATCTATTTATCTATCTATCTATCTTTTGTGATGCAAACGAACACTCGTTTGACACTTTTGTAATATCAACGAATACTCGTTGTCACTTTCCTAATCCTTGATGAAGCAGTAGAGACATTTAATCGCAGATACAACTATAGTACGCCGTTGAACAATGTTGGTGTCAGACGCCTTCGAATATCACTCGCAGTATTTGCTCGATAATACTCGCTCGATAATACTCGCTCGACAAGTAACCCGTATAGTGATCCGAATAGAGAAATAGTATAGTGAATAGAGTAGAGAATAGTGGTCCTTATAGTAATAGAGGATAGACTAGAAATGAAGATCTGATTAGTAATAGAGAATAGTATAGAAATAGTGATCCTTAGTCTCCAGCTACTTCCTGTATAAATGCGTTTCCTCTATGGTCACGCGATTTACTTAATTCAATAATGGGATCCCCTGTGTTTGTTCTCTGGCAATCAATGTTCAAACTCAAGTGTTGGCAGCGACACTTTACTGCTATATAACAATATCTATCTATCTATCTATCTATCTATCTATCTATCTGTCTATCTATCTATCTATCCATCTATCTATCAGTTTTCTTGAATATTCAGACCAGTAGATGAAAACAAATAAATTTACTGTTTAATAAATAAACAGATTATCTACTCAAATATGGGTATACAATAAAAATAACGTTTAAGTAATAAAATATATCGGATTCTTAAATGAAAAATGAATTCCTAAAACTCCTATCTATCTATCTATCTATCTATCTATCTATCTATCTATCTATTTATATAATAATGCATTATAGTCCAATATACATTATAATATGTTATATAATATGTATAATTAAATTATAATTATTATAAATATTATATATATATATATATATATATATATATGTATGTATAATAACTCTCAGTATGAGTGCGTGTGTGTCTATGCGCATGTGTTTTTAACCGGATAAATATGTATATTTAGATTAATTGTATTTTATCTAGCGATAGGCATAGAGCCACATCTAAATCAAATTGACAGATTGATGGAATAATTAGTTGATGCAAAAAATTCACTTCATATTTAATGAAAAGACAGAGATATAAATAATTTGAAATGGAGACTCAATGTCAAAGTCGCTTTAACTTGAGCGAGAACACAACTGTATGTTTTATTTATCTTATTCTTTTTTTCAATGCCAGCCATAGATTATTTCCTCTGTTATGATTTTTGGAAGACATCATGGCACTTTAAGATGGTTTAAGATATTTTCAACAAATTTCACTCATTTTATTTTGTTTACACTTTCTTTTTTACTTTCGCGTTCGTTTTTTTTATTTGTCATTCTTTGTTTGAGTGTTTCATTCTTTACTTTGTTTCATTTCTTTCTTTTCTTTTTCTTTTATTTACCTTGCGTCATTTCCTTTTTTCGTCCTTCCTTCCTTCTTTCCTTCCTTCCTTCCTTCCTTTTACCTTAGTGTCATTTTTTTCTCTCCTTTTTAATTTAATTACTTTGTGTCATTTCTTTCTTTCTTTCTTTCTTTCTTTCTTTTTCTTTTTTTCTTTATGCTCTTTCTTTCGTCATTTATTTACCTTGGGTCAGTTTTATTTCTTTTTTCTTTTATTTACCTTGTGCCAATTCATTCTTTCTGTCTATCATTTTTCATTCTTTACCTTGTTTCGTTTCTTTCTTTTCTTTCTTTCTTTACCCTTTGTAAGTTTTTCTTACCTTTTTATTTTACTTTCCTTGTGGCATTTCTTTCTTTCGTTACGTTCTGTCATTTCTTTGTTTTCCTTCCTTCCTTCCTTCCTTCCTTCCTTCCTTCCTTCCTTCCTTCCTTTAAAAATTTCACATTTTTCCATGTAAGCTTAATTGAAAGACAGAATCAAATCACCAGTCATCACACATTAGATTTTTTCAACTCCTGTTGGATGTTTTAGTTTACGTTGTTCTAGTAGTAACGTTGGTAGTCGAAATAGTCGTTCTAAATAATCTGAATTCTTGCATGATACCTTTTTTAGCGAGTTTGACTTCTTTTACTTTTTCTCATTATCTTTTTATCATATTTTATCTATTGTATATATATATATATATATATATATATATATATATATATATATATATATATATATGTGTGTGTGTGTGTGTACTGCGTGCCAAATTATTATCTAGATAACTTTTTTCTAATATTTCAAAAATCGTCCAATCCATTCACACAAAATTTTCACACAATGTTGGCAACAATAAGTTGCGCAATCACTGAAATTTTCGTACTGATCTGTGCAATGTAAACAAACTTAGGCCATATTTGTTATCAAATTATTAGAAAGGTTTAGTAAAATTCACAGAATTGAGCAAACAAAACGTATATTAATGTTGAACGTGAATGATTATGATCAAAAGAAGCTAATAAATAAGATAATCAAACAAATAATAACAGATACAAACAAAGGCACAGTTTTAAACAAATTAATAGGGAATGTGCTTTCTCTGTTTTGAAATTACTTGAAAAAGTCGACGATCCATAGAATTTGTTAATTGTAGGATGTCATCTGTTGTAATGTCAAGAATTGCTTCCCACAACTCAGCGTTGCTCCTGAATTGTCGTCCGTTGGTGTACAGTCTTCGCTTCATGATGCTCCAAAGGTTTTCGATTGGGTTCAAATCCGGAGAATTTGCTGGCTACTTCATTTTTCGAGGTCCATCGAATCCTGTTTTGAATATTCGGTACTCTTGTGTGCGTCATGTGAGGGAGCATTATCTTGCATAAAAAACAATGGCCCTTCTGAAGGCAACTCTTTGCCTTTTCATCCACGGTTCAAGATGCTCCTTCATAAACGCTATGTATGCATCAGCAGTCATTTTCACGCCATTTGGTACTCTCCATGGGCCCACTAATGTGTTTCCAATAATACCACCCTAGATCATTATGCCTCCACCGCCTTGTTGGCGTCTCAAACACTGATGGCGATTCTGTCCGTTCATTACCCAGCCTTTGCACCATCTATCTGGCCCATCAAGTGTTGCTCGAGTTTCGTCTGTGAACAAAACTTTAGAGAAGTCAATCTTCATATTGTCCTTGGCCCATTTCAATCGATTTTGAATCTAATTTCTCGTCAAAGGAGACTTCGATACAGGTTTGACTGTTGTTGCTATTTCCCTCAGGATCCCCAATACGACTGAAAAGCTCTTGACTGGTAAGTCCAGGGTTCTTCGTGGCCTCTCGTTTAAGTAGTGACATGAGACGACGTGAAATAACCCTCGGTTTGCCTGTATATGCCCTTTTGCTTACTTGTGTAGGGTCGGCAGTGAATTTTTCACTGTTTCATGACACTTCCCTATCATTTTAAAAATTTCTAGGGTAGATTTACCTTTTGAGAGTTCTTAGGTAATAGTTTTCTTTTCAGCATCACTTAAACTGATTTTACGGCCCATCTTTTCACAAAATTCTTATACTTTTCTAATAATTTGGCACGCTCAAATCACCCTGCTGATAACAAATATGGCGCCAGTTTGTTTACATTGCGCAGATCAGTACGAAAATTTCAGATTGCGCAACGCAGTGTTGCCAACATTGTGTGAAAATTTTGTGTGACTTGATTGGACGGTTTTTGAAATATTCGAAAAAAGTTATCTCGATAATAATTTGGCACGCAGTGTATATATATATTAAAAAGAAAAGAGAAACCGTAAACGTTTTTGTTTGTCATGTGGAGTCTAAAAAATATTTATATGTATCAAATTTTATTTTCCATAATTATGCTACACGAGTTTCTGGTCTCGCGATCTTGATCAGGCAAAGATTAGATAATTTCACATATTAAAAGGAATTAACTTTTCTCATGTTTTTCGATGTTAAACATTCTCGATATTAATCATTCTCTTTTTCGTGTGTTAGTGGCACAAATCTATAGGGAAGGAATATATAAGCATGCTGACAAAAACACACACAATACAAAAAATTAGAAATCGATCTATGAACACACATGGTTCATTAAAAGATAAGAATACAGATATCTTCCCTCTTGGACCAATCTTAATTGTTTTATTACCCTTCACGCAGAAGAACTTTCGCATTGCCAATTCAAAGAAGACGTTTGTGTTACTAACACACAAAAAAGAGAATGTTTAACATTGCAAAAAAGAAAAAATAATTCCTTTTAATAATATATGAAAATATCCACTCTTTGCCTGATGAAGATCACGAGACCGGAATCTCGAGTAGCAAAATTATGGAAAATAAAGCATAATATATTTTTCAAAAAAAATTTACAACCAAAAATGTTTCTCTTTTTTAATATATACACTTTTCTCTCGTTGCAATAACTATAAACTCTTCCCTTATATATATATATATATATATATATATATATATATATATATATATATATATATATATATAATGAAAAAGCAGCTAAACATAACAAACAAATAAATGTTAAAGGACATTAAATAAATAAGAGATATATTATTTCAAACGTGAATACATTGCATTTGAAAGAGACGCCCCATTTTTATTTATTAAACACTCAGTATTACGCCTATCGGCCTGCGCATTAGAGAAATCTTAGTAAAGACAAATGCGTCCCCTGACATATCTTGAATACACAGGCTGCGTGATTAAAAAATATTATATATGGACATACATACACACACACACACACACACATATATATATATATATATATATATATATATATATATATATATATATATATATATATATTATATATATATATTATATATATTATATATTATTATATATATATATATTATGGACATATATATATATATATATATTATAGGAAATTAATATATATATATATATATATATATATATATATATTATTTATTATCGGATATTAAAACAAATACATGTTAAACATGTTGTCTCGGCGGCTGAGTTTTCATTTGAATAATATTTCCAACATTTCTAAACATTTAAAACATACATGTTCAAATTCGCAATTCAGAAAAAATTCTTGTTGAAGATATTTCTATACTTTTCATGAAAAGAATAAACATAAACTAAAAATTCTCGAATCTATCTATGTCAAAAAAACTGAGGCCAAACCTTAATAAAATTAATTATGAATACGGCACAAATGTCTTAAAATGTGTACAATAGATAGTTTAAATTGTAAAGGTTAACACTGTATTTTGACTGGTGAAAAGAAACTAACACTCAATGTGCAGTGTTAATTTCCATATCCACACTTTAATATATAAATAGGCTCAATTACCGATATTGATAAGTCAAATTTTAATCAATTTATATATATATATATATATATATATATATATATATATATATATATATATATATATATATATATATATATATATATATATATATATATATATATATATATATATATATATATATATATATAAGCGTTTCACCCCAAGGAAGGCGGGGAAGCCACTACGACGCAAGGGGTTACAGTAGATTTGGAGCAAGATCAGAATAGGAGTGATAAAGGAAAGGATGAGGAGAAGGATAGTGGATAGATCAAGGCAACTGGAGATGTCGATTGACATTGCATTTGAATAGTTGGAGATTATAGCTCTCAGGGAAACTGGAATAGGGAAGGGAGTTCCA